TCCCCCCCTGTATACTTGTACGGGATCGATTAAAACTATCATGATGTACACTTTATGGTTATACAGTTTACAGTACATGGTCCATTCATTCCAGGAATTTCAATAGTTAGGCCAGGGAGGGACTCGCAGATGCAGGGTCTAGCTAGACCACCTCAGCCGCACCATGGTTGGGGCTGAGGTAAGAAAATTTATGATTTACAGGGGTCTACGGTCCCCACCACGGAGTTCAAGATCGCTGACAAGAGATCCATGATTCCCAACAATTGTTCACTCCCACTTCAGTATAAAAATGCATTTTCAAAGCGGTGTTTCAAAACAAAATAGTTGATTTTTCCCTTGAGACTGGGAACCCACTGTGTTAACGTCATTTTCTTTAATAACCACGTTAGTAAACATTCAGAGGCACAGTCTGGGTAAAATTTGAGGTCAAGCCTTGCGAGTGCAGTGACCAAATACGCCAGGGCCCAGGAGGCCGACAAGGGCCCCGTCGTGGTCGAAATTTGCGTTATTTTACGTGATGAAAGATAGAATTGAGAGGTTTCACCAAGTTAATTTCTATAAAACATCTGACAAAAAAAAAATCATCCCGAATGCAATGTCTCAACAAGAAAATAAATTTGGTGAGATTTCACTCTTCCTTCCACCAAAAAAGTGTAATGATTTTATAATCTGAACATCTGATGAAGGCCTATTTTCAAATAGGTCTTAAAGCGGGTACGTCGTTCTATACCTACTGCAAGTATTTTCTTCTCAAGTCTGCATATTTGTGATATTTTCCTGGTGCAAACTCGCATCTGCCTGCTACTTGGGTGTTTGGATTCAACAATAGTTACTACTCGCAAGCTTGGTAGTCTAGCGGTTATCGCGCCAGGCTAGTTTTTGGAGGTCGTGTGGGTTCGATTCCTACCCGAATCAGTTGCAATTTTCTTTTTTTGCAAGTATTCGAGGATGTACTAAGTATTCGGTATGATAACACGTCAGGTAGGGCAAAACATAACTCCTATTTATCTCATCGCTTTTAAATTATTTTCTTTAATAGTTTTGATTAATCGAATCCTATAATATTAGTTTGACGCAACAAACGGTGCACCATCGCCTAGCTAATTGCCAGTTCGACTTGTTATGGGGGTAAGAAAAAAAAAAACCAGTGGGAAAGAAGAACATTCACATCACTAATAAATGAATTAGTATCCATTTAAATATTAATTCCTTTAATTACAATGTATTATTTTGGCCTTATATATTTTTGGTGCTTCTTAATATTTTTGTTTTTCCTTTTTTCTAATACATTTTACTTATTCAATCTTATAGGCCTAGAGAGGGAGAGGGTCATGCAGTGCACATTCACAAACTGTCAGGACCATAGATTCGATTGGGCACTTTAGTAGGTCCCCTAGATCGACATTATTAAATATCGAAAGTGATACTTAACAAAAAATAAATAAGATAAGTGAATGAATAAAATAACTTATGACACTTATTTGAGATACGGGTAAAGCTCATAGGCCAAAAAGTGGCGATTATGGCGCTCCATTCATATTAAAGTTGTTTGGCTTTGCTTTAGTCTAGGCCTTTTACGAGTCAGCGTGGTTGTCAGTGCTGGTGTTGTTTAAATCGTTTAGTGTCTGAGAGTAAGTATCATAAATTATGTTATTTTTGGACATGTTGGTTTTTTTCCTTGTTTTTCAGAAGGTGAGCAACCCAACTCCCCATTCGCCTAACTCCCTGCTGGCTGTCTGGTCGACCGGGTCTGGCAGGGACAGAGCTTAGGGCTGCTGCTGCTTGGGCTTTCGCCAGGGCATGAATGGCAGACCAAGGTACGTAACTGCCAGAGTGATGAATGATGGTCAGACCTGCCCGATCGTCGAATTAATAATTTACGGATTACAAATAGATGGTTGGATGAGAACCATGATGGACAAAGGGTTCAGGCTTGGTTTTCGAAAGGAATTGTTATGGTTTTTGCTAGGCCGGTATTATTAGCGCTAGCGGGCCCGGATTGATCAACGCCGTAGTGTTAGTAGACTGCGCTGTATATGGAACGCAAATAGAGCGAAATATGCTCGCAGTGCCATCTAAGTCTTCCTTTTCATAGATGGTATTAATTATTGCATTAGCTTAATATGATAAATTGAAGAAGTATTATTTATATATACATACATAATTTATCTTTGTATTTATATTGTTTTTTGAATATGTGTGTCTGAAATAGATGTTGATTAATTAAATAATTATTTTTTTTAAGAGCCATTATTTTGGAAGTGGATATATTTACAAACAAATCAGTAAAATTTACATGAAATAAATTTTTATTAACTTTTCATTATTGGTCACGTTAATTTATCCATTCTGGTTAAATGTACATATATGTGAGTTCAACCAAAGAATTTAGATTCAACTTTCAGCACTCAAAATTAGCATCGGCCCAAGCCGCGGTACCCAAGCTCAACTTGGCGCTAATTTAATTATAATTTTTGTTTTTATTAAGCGTAATTTTATTTCCTACAATAGTGGTATGTAGTTTAATCAATAAATAAATTATTAAATCATTGTGTTAACTTTTCAAATAAAAGTGATATTATGAGCTGGAAATATCTGTTCTTCTCATTTTACTTGTGTCCTGTGTTGAATGAAAACACTTGACAACGTACTAGGCCTATGCCAAAACATGGAGGTTCGACCTGTTAAAACTAGCACTACCACAAAATTAAAAAAGTCTTTTAGGCCTAAAGCCTAGAAGACTATCACAAAGTTAATATCATTTTTAATGTTTTAACAGTGGAAATGGTTTGGCACTGCATGAACAGTTTGGTCTCCTAACTTCGAGGTTGAGGTTTCAATCCTTCGCTGTAGATTTTGCTTAGTGTCCTTGAGCAAGGCACTTTATCTGCATTGCTTCTCTCCACTCAGGAGTATAAGTGGGTACCTAAGGAGGTTAAAGTGCAAAATGCACTGAAATATTTCATGCAGCAAGCTGTGGTTTCCCCCTTTCATTTGAAACAACAACATCATTATATTGTAGTGCTGATGGGGCACGAAGGTGAAGTGGTGGGGCTCGATGATCTATTGAGGAACACCAACTCGCAAAATAAGATGATTTTTAACTACTTGACCATGAAAAAATCATGGTCAAGTAGTTAAAAATCACCTACAATCACCTTATTTTGCGAGTTAACGCTCCCTCAACTGATCATCGAGCCCCCCCCTCACTTTACATTCTTGCCCCATCAGCACCCCTATTTCAAAATTCCTAGATACGCCACTGAATACAAATAGGCTTATTTGTAGCTCATTATCACAATGATTCAATAATCTTGATGGAAATACCTACTACTGTAGCAAATTTAATTATGTTTAAGAACAATGGTAAAACTTTGATTTAATCTATTTACGAACATCAAACCTCCCTGTCGTAAACTGTTTACAAAAATTCATTCAACCAATTTGGGGATTCTCCATGTGCGTTGATTTTTCATCTATTCGATCGTGTGTAGTTTAATACAAAAATTTGTTTGGTCAAGTTGATGTAATTATGACTATAAACACTTTTGGGGAAGATTTGGTTTTCGTATACCGTGGATTCATGGTACAGTACATTCATAATAACTTGCCAACAAAAGGGCCTCGGCAAATCAGTTCTGTGGAACTGTGGCTTGGGCTGACGCAAATTTTGAGTGCTGATAGTTGAACTCGCACGTACATTTAACCAGAATTGATAACCGATAATGCAAGTTTATTAAAGTATGACTGCGCATGCGTTATGTATTTCATCATTCACTGATTTGTTTACGGTCACGTAAATATATCCACTTCCTTTTTTTATAGTACCAACAAGATAAATATTTGTTGTTCACAGCTTGATTTACTGTGCTTTACCAGTTGATTGAATATAATAAAAACTGCTCTTTGTTAAGCAATTTCATATAATATGAATGTGTCTTTATGTCAGATTTTTAGGTATTCCTGTATAATGATTCCACGTGTGCTAATAGTTGGAGCTGGTTTAACAGGTGCGGCCACAGCTGTGCTTCTGCAAAGGGAGTTGCAACAGGCTGTATCTGTTGTCATTTGGGATAAAGCTAGAGGATCGGGTAAGAAATAATCCAAGACTAAAATATCTCTTGCACTGTACTGTTTCGGACACACTAGTCTTTAATAGTGCATTAGACATTTTGAATCATGAACAGCATTTTAAAATCGACTTTAAACCTGGACCTACACACAGTATGCACGATTATTCATGCAATGCTGTGAAGTGTGTTGTTTGGAAATGTCTGGGTTGCTAAATGCATAACCTTCCTTTAGACAATTGTCATCTAATTTTTTTTCACTTTCTGGATGGATGGATGGATTTATTTGGTGTAAACTCAAGAATTACCCACGAAAGTCTGAAGAAGACTTATTTCCAGTGGGGTCCTTCTGGTGGTGATTGGGCAGTACACCACGGGAGACAATCCCCAACTCTTTTCCGAAGAGTGTACTGCGTTCTGTAACGTGCACATGGGCCATAATCCACACAGGACCAACAGCTTAAACGTCTCATCTAAAAGCCGGTACGCTACTGTAACTTGCATTCTAATTTTTACTGTAATTTAGTGTTCATACAGCACCTTTCCTTGAGGTTACGAAGCACATTGTTTTCCCTTGTCATTGGGTCCACATGCTTAAGTGTTGCTGCCATATTGACGCAGTAGCCACGGACCAACCCTACTAGGAACTCATTTATTCTGCTGTGTGGAGAGAAGCATCACAGATACTGTAAAGTGACTTGCTGAAGGTCAAAAGCGAAGCGCACAGTGAAGGATTGAATGCCTGATCTTGGGGTTCAGAAACCAAACCGTTCTCGCTGTGCCAAACACCTTCCATAGCATAAATTTCTGTACAGTAGCTTACAAGCACAAGTGCTTTTATAGTGAATCAGTTTGAAATTTTGATCTTGGACTTGATCCATACGTGGCGACGGAATAACATTTCCATGTACAGTAGAACCACAGGAGGGAAGAGTGGTTATGGTCTAGATTGTTGTTGTTGGTTGAAAAATAATTTTATGTGATTAGTGGTCGTGTCTTTCAAGCTGTCAAGGAATACTGTTTTAATAATGTTGTTGGTTCCAATCTGTGTACGTTCTTGATAGAAACGAGAATTCATATGTGTTAGCTCTGTACTGTAGTTCTAGTTTGTTGCTCACACGTTTTTTGTTTTTTTTGGCAGGTGGTCGCATGAGTACAAGTCGCAGTGCATCCAATCCTAATTCTACTGTTGACCTCGGTGCCCAGTACATTTCCTGTACGCCTGCTTACGCATCATCACATGCACAGTGAGTCCAAAATATATTCTATTCTCAAATTTTACAAGGAATTTCAGCCTGCAATCATCCACATTGTTGATAAAAAAAAAAACAAACACTGTAAGTTCCTTCCTATGATTGGCAGTGATACGGTGATAAAGAATTGTTGCTTCATATAACTATGAATAATTCCTATCCACTGACAATTTCGCCAAAAAAAAAGATGTTCAGTCTCAACCGCCTATAAAAAATATCAAAACGGTAGAATTGAGCTACACCAGTGTGAACACTATATGGCCACTGTGGCAGCCAAAGCCTGGACAAGGGAAAGGGGAGGGGGAGTTCTTTTTTAACCGTACTTGATTTTAAGGACAGATTTCAGTTTTAATTTAAGAATTTAGTATGAAACAGAATTCTTACAGTGAGAGAGAGAGAGTGTGTTGGAGAGTAGCAGGACAGTGAAAGGTAGATAAAGAAATATAGATTCTTATTTTTAACATTTTTATTTACAATTAAGTACAAAAATTGACTTATGGCAGCAGAAGATAGGAGATGGGGGAGGATTAAGAGTTGATTAGTCGTTTCTTTTTGAAAAAAAAACTAAAAAAAATACAAACAATATTAGGGCAATGAGAGCACCGGGAAGGATTATTAGGTACCGTACCCACGCGAATACGCCTGGGTGCTTTAAATATTTTTGGCTCTTTTTGAGGGGCGCTTATGATAAACAAAGTGGAAATAGAGGGGGGGGGGTGGGGGCGCTTATGGGAAATTTGAAATTCAAGGGGCACTTTTTTTTAATCGAAGATAAACGACTGGTTTTGGTGAAGAAAAGGTAATCGTCGAGAGCATGGCTCATGACAAGAATGTTGTGGGTATTTACACAGCAGATGAATTTAGTGGTGGTGTTGATGGTGGTGTAGTGTGTTGGCCATCTGCCAATTCAGGTAAGCAGGATCATTCTGGGTTAACTTGCTTAGATACAAGAGTGAGAAGTCATTTTATTTTTATTGACTGAAAATGGCCACAGTATTTTAATTTTTAGATATCAAATACTGTACTGTAGTTCTAAATCCAAAAAGGGTAGCAATAAAACAAGAACTGAAAACCATGTTAAACTTAATGGAGACTGATAGACCGATAGATGGACAGACCAACTGACAGTGCTAAGATAGATGCAAATAGTTGACGCAGAAAATTAAGTTGGTGATGTACTGTACTGTATGATTGAGTATTTTTAGGAATTGAGGGGCGCTTATTCAAAATTGAAGGGGGGGGGGCACTTATTCAAACGGCGTGCTTTAGATAATTTTCACATTGGGAGGGGCGCTTATTCAAGAAGGTTGCTTATTCAAATGGGGCGCTTATTCGCGCGAGTACAATACATTTAAGGAAGAATTTCAGCTTGACTTCAAAAGAAATTAAACAGAATTATTAAGACTGAGAATGAGTTTTTGTAGGATACAAATTTTGGATAAAAAAAAAGTGGAAAAAAGGCTGATTACGCCACTTTTTTACGCCCTGTTTTTAAATATAAAAAAAACTGTATCATTAATTGGGCTTATTCGATGGAGTTTTATTTTCATTCACCTGGTTCGTAAAATAGACTTTGTTGACAACAAATATTAACATAAAACAGAGTGCGTTAACCATGTGACCAAAACAAACATGACCGATTGGTCAGTTTAAAAACAACATTTGCTTTAATATAACTTAGATAAATTTTCAGAAAATAAAAATTATAATATTTACTCACATGAAGTAAAAAAAAAAGTAGGCTAGCCACAGAATTCAAAAACTTGATGAAAACATTTTTTTATGAAAAACCCATACTGCCACAAGCAACCTTGATTTCGCAGCGTGTATTGTGGTAATGCAGCCATTTTGTTTTCTTGAGTATTTACAAGTTTTCTATTCGACTGGTTGTCTTCGTTAAGTAGGATTTTACCACTGTGCAGGTGGGCGTGGTTTAAGGAAGAACAACCAGTCGAATACAGCCATTGTTTCAATTTTTTACCTCTGTAGAATAGCTTTAAGCTTCAGTACCACATCAATCCACAAAAAGAAATGACTGATTGGATAACATTTTGGCAGAACATACCAAAAGAAAGTCATAAATAGATAAATACAAATTTTGTAGCAAACAATTTTATATTTATATTTCCAGATTTTACAGTGAGCTGATCAGTAATCATATTTTAACGCCATGCCAGGTTGTCATTGAGGGCATGAGAGATTCAGACGGTGATACCAAACATTATGTAACACCAAAAGGAACGAGTTCCATTGTGAAATATTACCTTCAACAGTCTGGTGAGATTCTTTGGTTTAATTTGAATACTTATAATTAGTATTCTTGATTCTTGAGCAGCTTAGCTCAGTCGGCTAAACTGGTGGTAGCCACTGTGTGTGCACTGAACCGTGGAGATCTCAGGTCCTCCGTTCAATTCTCATCGCTGCTCTTATGTTTCAGCCGGAGGGCTGAAATGCAAGTTACAATAGTGCACCGTCTTTCGGATGAGATGTTTAAGGCGGTTGTCCCGCGTGCATTGTGGCCTGTGTGCACGTTAACACTCTGCCCGCCAAGCACGGAGATTTCTGTGTTTCAGGTTAGATGGAATAATTACTGACATGTAGTAACAATTTGAACACTATATATTGTTTCCATTAGCGTAGAGCGGTATTGATTTACTTTCACGAAATCGCGGTTTTATCTCTGCATCGTTGCGCGAAATCTCGTAAATCTCCAAAAGTGAGTCATTTTTATTTTACTGTTACAGGTCTCAGATTGTGATTAGAGTAAAGTGTTTGGTACCGTTGTAAAGCTAAAATGTTCGTAGTTCCTGTAGTATTCGCTACATGTCAGTCTGTTCACATACGCACTCTCAACGAGCTTCGGAAAAGTGTTAGAATTTTCCAAAATGTCTGGCGGTGGCTGATACTATTTTTTCAAACCCCTGGCGGTCAGAGTGTTAAAAAAGCAATAAACTATTCAGAAAAGAGTAGGGGATTGTTTTAATTGATTCTGTATTACAGTACCAATATGCCCCATAAAAAAAATGTATTATATATGCTGTACACAGATTGCGCATATAGTATTTAAACAAATAGATAAATGATTATAAAAGTGCTCGAATATGAACATTATGTTATAATCAAATCAAGCATAGCCCGTCAACGAAGTTCCTAATTTTCAGTAGTATGAAAAAAGTGTCTGGCAGGTATCAAGGCGAGTATCATACGTCTAAAAAATGGAGACCATGGTATATAAGCAGATCTAACCCACAGGCACTTTCTTGCATACAACTGACTGAAAAGCTCACACATAGTGAAACTAAACTTAAGCTCGAAATGCTTATAGGTTGTAGCTGCTGGATGTATATGTATGTATGTATGTTCTTCCTCCCTAAATCTGCCCCTGTTTTTTTTTTCCAAGTTATTTTTTGTTCTTTCTAAATCAAGGCGCTAATATTCACCACAATTGTCATTTACAAACCATTGATGTAAAATGTGATGATGGAGTAGAAACAATATTAGCTGAGCACCAAGGCAGCGATCAGAAGCATTCATTTGATGTTGTTGTGCTATCCCAGCCTGTACCACAAATTCTCCAGCTTGGAGGCGGTATACAGGATATTTTAGGTAAGTTGGTATTATAATTATTTTTTAACACACAGTAAACCTCATTATAGTATAAGCAGTTGATATAATAATAGGGTGCTTTCGATTTGCACTACGACATAACTCTAGAACACATTCAGTCATCTGTAACCGTTCTTGAGTCATCTGTAGAATGTAGATTTGGGAAAAGTTACAGCCTAGAATCAGGCGATAATGAGAACTCAATGTTCTCACGTGTGCGGATGACTTCTTTGTGATGTCCATTGCATTTTGGGTCTTGCTGTTGTCATGCAGTCAAAAGCCCTGTCAGCAAATTTCTCGAGCCACCACTGGTCGTCGCACAAATCAAAAGCTTCCTACTAACTACTATCATACAACATCAGTTGTTTGTTATTTTTTTATTTTTTATCTTTTTTACACTGCAGCAAAAAATTCAAACGTTCTAAAGAAGTTAGAGGAAGTTGAGTACTCGTCCAGATATGCACTTGGTTTGTATTTCAGTCCTGGAACAAAGTTTGATGTGCCTTGGGAAGGCAAGTACACGTATGATGATCCCTGCGTTAGATGGATATGCATCGACAGTAAAAAGAGAGGAAACGGTTAGTACATTACAGTTGTAAATATCATGTTCTATGCCAGAGATGTAACTTCACATCCGACTAGCTTCACTCAGTGCGAGAAAGGCGTGAATTTATTTTACGTCCACACCTGTCCAAACATACCATTATTGTATTGCACATGAACTCACCTGTAGTGGTCACCAGAACTCAGTGCGAGAAAGGCGTGAATTTATTTTACGTCCACACCTGTCCAAACATACCATTATTGTATTGCACATGAACTCACCTGTAGTGGTCACCAGAACATAAACTCCCACCCTGGTGGTTCAGGGAGGAACTTGGAAACAATGATCTAAAAATATATACAGTACCGTACATTTGTTTATTTTTTCAAAACAGTTGAAGGAAACCTATATATAATTTTGCTAATTGCCTCCGTGTAACTTCACCTATCTCGTTTGAAACCGCTGGCAGGAATGTGCTCATCTTCCATACACTGGGGATACCATATATTTCGCAAACAGGATGGGCTACTTTTCTCGATATTGAAAAGCTCGATATTGGACAACAAGGAAAAAAACTTCAAAAAACCACTGAAAGTCACATACGTTTTTGAATGTTTTGCCATGTTTCGCGAGTCGCCTACGTCACATAAGTAAATTCCCTCTCTTAATCTGTACCGCACTGCTCAGATCTAAAAATTATCGAGTCGGGCCGTAAAAGAAACAGACTATGTTTCACAGCTTCATTACATCACCGCGCATGCCTCACGTCAACAAAAAGATGAGCAGCATGTTCAATCCTGATCTGCTTCTACACAACACGTACATGGAGGTTTATCCATTGTACAGTATACTGAGTATATTACTGTAGTCTTAATGCAATAAATAGCATGTTTTGAAATCGATCAGGTAAACATAAACGTACTCCTGGGCACAATTAGGCATGATATTACAAGCTAGGCCAAGGCCTCATAATTTTGGCAGGGTCTAGGCCTAGGCTGCCCTACCGTAAACCTAGCCTAGAAAGCATAGCATAGCAACAGTACAGCGTGGGAAGATCAACAGGGGTGGGGGGTTGGGCACATGCTTCCCTGTTTTGCCACTAATTTTTTGAAATTTCAATGCATATTATGTTTTGTGGCACTCACTCCATTCTAAAACTGTTGTGTGTCTCCCCCCTCTCCCCTTCTCGTTAGAAAAATTCTGGATCCGCCCTTCATCAAACTGGACAATAATTCTTCACAAGGACTATCCAGCAAAGACACTCATCTACAAAGACATCCTTCAGCAAAATAATCACATACTAACCAAACATCCACAACGATTACCTCCATTTCCCATAACATTCAACAGCATACATCTCCACCTTTCCCCACTCATCCAACACCGTGCGGAGCACCGGTATATGCATGTGAATAATAATTTTCTTATGTTGGTGCCTTTTATGTCTTGGCGTTTGGGCAAAACCTAGGAAAATGGCTTGGCAGTCAACGTTTTGATAAAAAATGTTTGTATGTCAAAAATTAATTTTACTCCATTTTATTTATTTAGGAATTTTTATTTAATAAAAGCATAGAAAAAAAAACTGTAAAAATACAATAATTTGAATACAATTACCTAAAAATTTATAAATATGCATACAAGAGTCAAAGGAATAATGAGAAAAATGACACAGTAAAGAAGCAAGACTACAATTTCCTCAACCAGACTAAGTCAAACAAGGGTTTACTGGCTGACCGTACACCTATTATGATTATCGATATCAATTTTTTAGACCTAGTTTCTTTTTGTTTACAGAATCAGATGCTGATGGTCCAACATTAACAGTTCACACCAGCGTACCGTTTGGTTTAAAACACTTAGAGGACAACAAACAAGATGTCCAAAAAATTATATTGCAACATCTTTCAACCTTACTGCCTGGTCTTCCTGAACCTGTCGAGGTCAAATGTCAAAGATGGAGGTACTCACAGGTATAAATCTTCAAAATCCACTAATCTGCTTGTTGATTTTACTGTTGTACAGTAGTTGTCTGTTGTTGATTTCAGTTCAGTAATCTTTATTGACATAACAATGCTTGAAATAGAAAATTACTGTTGTATAGCCTGTGTAAAAAAATTGAATGAAAAGTGCACATTATAACAAACAAAAGAGGGGAAAATAAAGGTTATGTATATCATGCAATATATGAGGGTCTCAAATTGTAGAAAATACTATTGATAACAAAACTTCAACATGGACTTTAAATAAAATAGACCTCTTTCAATATATTGATTACGTAGCGACCACACCTGAGAGCGCACGTCACATTTGTGATGCAACATTCAAGAACTGGATATCTCTTTTTTTTATTTTCTGGAAATAGAGAAAGCTGCATGGATAAAATTCAATTAGCAGGGTAATATGTTTTAGGGATTGATCAAAAATATATATTCAATTAAAAAAATACAAAATCAAAGACAAAAATTTAAAAACTCAAGGACAAAATATATAAAATCAATGACAAAAAATATAAAATTAAAGAAAAAATATAATTTTGCTATATTTAAGCACTTATTTATGGTGTTAGATAAACATTCACAAAATCCCAATAAGGAAGAAACATGGAAAACTTTCAAAAGTTGTAGTTTGTTTTAAGAACAAATTTTATATATTTATTTCATTTTGTTTTCATTTTTTTTTTCATAATATAATTATATAACTATGTATATATCATATCTTAACTTCAACAAACAAAATTTAAGTGTGCAGGCTAAAAATTAGATTTTTAAATTTTTCTTGTCATTTTGTATTCAAGGTTTATAAAGGTGTAGAAGGTGGTCCAGGGTGTATGAAGTTAGCAGAATCAAAGACGAGTTTGTTGCTAGCTGCCGGTGATGCATTTGTTCACTCTAATTTTGACGGTTGCATTGAATCAGCAAAGAAAACCAGTCACACCATCATAGATTTTCTAAAATCCAACTGTAAATTATGAAAGGAATATTATAGTACAGTAATGATAGCAATATTATTATTATTATTTATTATTATTATTATTATTATTATTATCATTATCATTATTATTATTATTATTATTATTATTATTATTATTATTATTATTATTATTGCTGTTTCTTGTTATTTTGATGTGCGTATCCCATGACACCTTTGACACAAAAAAGCTGTTGTTTAATTCTGATTTTTTTTTCTTTTTTACCATGTTTTTGCAAAGGGTGTTTCTACCCTTAGATCATCCTAAAGGTTGGTGCAAACAAAGACCATGTTATAATAAAGTGAAATTGACATTACTCTACATTTTTAATACGTTATTGCAGTAATAAATTAATAATTCAACTGTTTATGTTAACGCAATGTTTAACACAATTTGCGTTTGATATTAAAGCGTTTAGAACTAGTTATGGCTAGGAATGACGTAAATACAGGCTTTTTCTTGCTGGCTGACATTCATGACTTGTCCCATTGATGAGAATGATACAAACAGAGGTGTGGATGAATTAGGTTCCTAGCACTGTAACGCTACTATGTTTGTGTCATTGCTTGTATCGAACGTCAGGTGGTGTTGGTCATAATATTGAGTTTGACCAATCAACAGTCGAGTGTCTTAGCATTAGGCACTTGCCCTGATAGCAAGATGCTGCAGGTTCAATTCCCGCCAGAGACACTATTTTTAATATCCTACGACTGAAGGAACTTATGGTTGATACGAACATCACAATAACATCACATGATCAAATAATTTCATCTGGTGTAATATTTGTTGTTATTCTTTCTATGTATATCATCAGCTGTGACGTTTCGGCTAGTTGTTATTACAGCCGTTGTATGGTGGAGTGATACAGTTTGCCGAGCCAGACGTCATCATAGTAGGATTCTTAAATCATAAAACTAATGTTAAGTGGCATGTGGAAGTGAGTGAAGTTTGCTGCACACGTCCCAGGTTGAAAGAAAACATAGGTGAACAATGAATATTTTTATTCAAATTCTTTACAGCACATTTGGCAGCCAAAGTTGAATTGCAGCATTGTATAACATGCATTTCTACCAACATTAAAATATACTATACAATTTATAATTAATGTCCTGTAAAAAAAATAAGATCATTATTATTTTTACAACAGTTATTGCAAAAATTACAATTAATATTGCCATAAGCGTCCCCCTTTAGTTGAGAAAACTATTATATTAAATTATTTCTCCCCACAATTTCTTCAGACCATGGAGGACAAACACCATTTTTTTTTTCAAAAAAGGGCAGAAATTTGCGCATAATACCTGCTAAAACGTCTCATAACTGCTTAAACAATCCCATGTCGGGAAAGTCCTTGCAACACTACTAACAAATACGTTATCTCTCCATACTATCAGTTATGAAGTAAAAAAAAAATAATTCCACATTTTAATTACTTAATTTGTATATTTAAGTAAATTATTAAATCAATTTTACAAATTTAAGTTGATTAATAACATTCCTGTGTTCTCTAGATCATTAACTTGGCTGGTAATCAATTAGATAAGGATTTTTTGTAATGTCTCTGAATCGCGAACAAAAAAAGAAAAGAAAAATAAAACTTGTTTTCGATAAGATTCTGGTTGGAAGCTAATTGATGTACTTTTCAGAATATTTTTTAAATTTTTAGCTAATTTCCTGTCTTTTTTATTGATAGTAGCCTGCCTACATATTTATGTTAAAACAGGTCAAAGCAATTCCGTTTTCCTTGACTACAGATTTAATACTGTACGTTGAACGTTCAATTGTTTTGACAAACAAATTTAGATTTATGGTACTAATTACGTTAGATATCTTGTATATTTGTGAGGAAAATGTTCTATTCCTCTAATATTTATTATTAAAAGCAATTAATGTACTTATTTATTCAGAGTTTAAAAAAATTTAAAACAGCTCATCTTCATTGTTAAAACACATGAAAATAACACTACTTGGTAAAATAGTTGGTATGCTAGACCTAGGGGTAAATTAAGTTACGTGACCAAAATATTCAATTATGATTTATTGTGTTTTTTAATCTTTAGAATAATTTATTACAAAATTTTTTATTTTATTTATTACAGTTTCAAGCTTACATCACATTGTTATTTGAATAGAAATATAGAATAGCGCCTCATTATTTGTAAATGAACAGTGTCCTTGATTCTATGATTGATGATTGATTCAGGAAAGGCCTATTCAATAATATTGTACTGTAATCAGGTTTTGTTGTCTTTGTTATAGTAGTTGATATTTGCTTTCTTATTTGGTAAGCCTAATTACGTACTAATAGTCGTTGCAATCTGCCATCTTGGTCCTCAAATAGAAAAAAAAACCCTGGCCATTTTTTCCATAATAGAGGGCCTCTTGATCGTAGTCTACATATTTATGTTAAAACAGGTCAAAGCAATTCCGTTTTCCTTGACTACAGATTTAATATTGTACGTGAAACATTCGATTGTTTTGACTAGCAAATTTAGATTTATGGTACTAATTACGTTAGATATTTTGTTTATTTGTGAGAAAAATGTTCTATTCCTCTAATATTTATTATTAAAAGCAATTAATGTACTTTTAAGTACATTAATTGCTTAAATAATAATAATAATAATAATAATAAAGGATCTACTTTCCAAGCTCTAATATATCCACACTCTTCAAATGATCTCGGTTTATTGTACAATCTCGACCCTTCTTCTATTTGTGTATTATATTATTTAGGCCTGTATATTGGCACCATATAATGGTCATACCGGTCCATCTGTCAGAACTTAGCGTAGTAATATACAGTACATGATTATATTTTTGGCAAACTTTCAGCGGATTTTGGGGTCATAATAAATCTAAAGGCCTCCTTTGTAGTAGATTAATCCCGGGAAACGCCGGTGACTTACCGGTAATATCCCTGTGTACAATTGTTTACCTTGTACAGTATTACGAAGCTGTCATTTTCGATACCGTAGGTTAAAATGTCAATGCGTTTTAATCTAGTATTGCTCACTTAATACAGACAACTTGCATACTTAATAGCGTGAACAAAGAGTCTTAAAAGTACTCCCCAGTGACATTTTCAGTGTGCGTAGGCCTATTACCAATACTCACTCTGTCTACCTACGATTTATTCGTGAAAATGGTTCCGCTTAGAAAATCCGCCATTGCGAAATACTGATCATTCGATACAGCATGGACCTATTAATAGGTCCATGGATACAGTATCTGTGTCCCGATCCTGATACACTGTATGCAATGCTTATCCAAGATATAGAGTGCAAGCGCCTCGCTCCCTACACACAGGGTCCAGATTTTAGCGGGAAATTTAGGGATTTTAAAGTCTTCAGAATCTAATAATCTGTAAATTATTACAATTCCAATTGTCATTACTTTTGGTGTTAACGATCTGTCATCGTCGTCGTCATCATGATCGTCATTGACATCACAGTCGCCGTTATTGTCATCATCATTAATGTTATAGGCTTTAATATTCGTATTTTTCATTTAAAATTTAATTTATCTTGAATATTAGGCCTATAGTGATTGATGCCAACTATATTTTAAAACTTTAGAGCATAAATTCCGCATCATGTGGAACTGTAGGCCTATGGCAGAGCAATACAAGGAGAATAAAAGTAAAAAGGGGGTAAAGGTAAGAGAAAAACGCAGCGCAGCGTCATTGTGTTGAATTCAGTATGGGCATGATCCGTGATTACCTAAGATGAGCTTAGAGTAACTACGTTCACATCATTCCACAACAGCAACAGGGGCTGAAATAAACCATAGCATCAGGGTAATCCCCTATCTTCCGAATGATACAATGGGTTCTTTAGAAACGAGCCAGAAGTGTACACTGGACCTCCATTTGAAGTCCTTGTTCGAGAAGACTTTTTTTTTCAAAAAAAAAAAAAAAAAATGGAACTATACCAACCGAACCCTGGCTTCGCTAAACGTTCTCAGAGATTTGTTTTAGTGATGCTGATTGGTTGGTCGATTGCAGTAAAAACATTCTAGCGATTTAATGGAAACCATGCTTTAGTATAACATGGACTTCTACCAAGCGAACCTTGGGCGAGGAGCGGCTGGATCAAGTGCCGATGTTAAGGCTGTAGATTAGCGGCGCCCCGCCTTATCGATCAGCCACTCGTCTTTCAAATAATTATCAAAAACGTTTTTTTTTTTCATTTTTGATAAAATAAAAACTAATATTAAGGCGTATTCAGTAAAATAACTATATTTTCTCTGTGTAAAAAAAGAAAACAAAAGAATGAGAAAGGTGCATTCACACTGAACCCGGAAATCGGATCGGAGGGTAAAGTCTGGTGTCCATAAAATCTCTACACGCTCTCGGAGATTGGTTTCGGTACCGGTAACGCTTATTGGATTTGGTCGATTTCTGTGAAAATACTGTAGCGATTTAAAAGCAAAATACGGACCCTGAAAATTTAAAACGTCTGAGCTTTCGGTGATTCCCTACCCCACCGGAAAAAAAATCAGTAGCAGATTTAAAGGGGACAAGTCGGCCCTGGATTCCTAATTTTTTTCAGAATTTAAAAAAAAAAATGAACAAAAAGATAAAATTACTGTATATTCAATTTTTAAGTCCGAGAGTGCCAGTTCCGGCTATCTATATGGTGTCATATTCATAAATTGTCTTACTTCAGCCCCAAACACGGTGGGGCCGAGGTGGTCAGAACCTTCATCTGCGGAAGTTTCTCCCTAGGGCCCACTCTATTTTCAATTAAGTGGTGCAACAATAGGAGGGGAAGGGGCAGCCCCTTTTTCCCCGTCGACGCTCGACTACGCCCACTTTTTTTTCGTCGGGAATATCGGCCTCATGGAGCCCTCTTCGGGTAAATCCTGCCGCCACTACTGGTGCAATTCCTGGACCCGCCAATGAATGAAATTGACGGCTCTCAACACCACTTGTCCATCAACTAGTCTTAATCCAGGACTACGGCACTCGGTTAACTTTCATATCCATGGCCTGGCTATCAATCTTGAACTGGTTCCCGTTCTCACTTAGCTACGCCGCTGCTGACGTTCAGCGCATCGGAAACGCGGTCCTAATTTCGGTTCGGATCCGATGTGAATGCAGCCTAACCAAAGTAGGTCAAACTGTGATGCAAGTCCAGGTTATGTTTCCTAATGTAGGCCTGACTAAGTGCAGTAGGTGATGTCCCGGAATCTTGAGTTTTATTGATTTCTCAGCTTATCTTAGAAATGTATTGTTAGTGCTTACAGGTGAAAGTAGGAAAGGTAGCACTGTGTAGTGCTCCTCTGAGACTAAAGATTATACAGTTTAGTTTTTGAGAAATATGGAAATTGTGCTAGAGTATGATAAATGTTAAACTGTGTTTACGTGTAGTGCGTTTAGTTCAAAATGCGTTCATAGTTCACATAAATAGGTCGTTGTTAGAAAAAAGTTTTTGCCACGTCATAAAACAATGGAAAATATTGCTGTTAAAACGCATGTAATTTGAAATTAAATTGTTATGTAGGTTGAATGTGCTTCTGAAGTGAACGTTGTAAGTTTAAGCGAGAAAAAAATAAAAGAAACGTGGGCCTTAAGTTATAAATGAAGCATTTAAATAAGTTTATTTACTTCATATTAAAATCTTCACTATTTTCAAATCGAACTTTTATAATATTAAATTATATAACTACAGAATATTATTATTACCATCACTCGCGAAAAGGAGGATGATCATCCTCATCATTATGATCATCATCATTCACCATCACTATCATCCCCATGATACCTCATTAACATTATCATAATCATCGTCGTCGTACTCGTACTCCTCTTCATCATTAGTATAATTATCATTATTGTTATTCTCATTATCAATAGTAGTGTATTTTACACAATAATGAAGTCTTTTCTGGTTTATAATAATTATTATTATTGAGCTTCTGTAGGCCTATATTTATTTTCAGCAATTGAATTTATTCATAAATTGCAATACGGTTTTGTGTGACGTAACCAAACGCATTGCTAAACTCATTCAACTATCTTTTGTTTGACGTTTGTAAATATTAAATTTTTTTTTTTTTTTTTTAATTATCAAAAATTAACAACTCCTTATTTTCCATAACTCTCTGTCTCGTACAATTGTTCTTGGTCATAAAGCATCGGATGCACTGCTCTCCGCTACAAAACCTCAATAACAATTGAAGAAATCAATTTAAAATTCACCATTAAAAGAAATGTCTAAATAAGGGCGAACACTGAAAAAAAAAGGGTAAGTGGTAGCTTAGGTTTGCGTGCTTATGTTCCAGTGTTTGTTTCTACCCGTGGTCTATGCCACATACATCACTCGATATGATGATGACTGTGTGTGACCATTTATTTACTTTTTCATGTTCGTTTTAAAATATCAGAACGAATAACTTTCAGAATAATTGAACATTTAGTGTTAAATTCATTTTGAATGGGGTGGTTTAAACGGGTTTTGCATGGACCATTTTTATTTATTAAAATTATTTACGAATTCATTATATATTTTAACGTCCAACATAGTTGTTAAAGTTAAATGTAGAGTTGTATTTCTTGATTGGTGTATTAATCGTCATACAATACACCAAACTATTAAAACCAACTGAACACCAAACGAGCCGACATTCGGCGGCCCAAATTGTGAATATTCATTAAAATGTTTGAGCATTGGTATTAATATTAATTAATGATTCAGATCATTTCTTTGAGTGGTTAGACTTTAAGCTTCTGCAAACCGAGAACCCCTTTCTCGGGTTTCATATTGTCGGCGGAGATAAATAATTTATTGGGTGCTGGAATGCTGTGGTGCAATATTCAGAATGCCGTCATAATGTTTCCTTGAAATTGGCCATGGTTTAACGATCTCTAAATCGGCCATGTTTTTTTTTTTTTTTTTTTTTTTATGTGGTATCATTTACACAATGGTACTGTAGTCTGATGAGATCAGAAACGAATAAAGGCACAATGTTTTTTTTTTGTTTTTTTTAACCAAGTAGTCTCTATTGCAACAGTAGCTTTTCACAATGCAGGACTACTCCAACATTCCGCGCTGCTGTCCACGTATTTCAGTACCAAGATATATTTGAGCACAACGAATATTGGACAGTCTTTTATCCAAATATACCCAGTTGCTTTCTGGTTTTACTGTGAGAAAACCAAGAATCATATGTATATTATATCATGAGTATTTATTGCACAGTATCCTTCCATAATTCTAAGTCAATGTTTAAAGACACTTTTCATAATTTGACTTCGCATGCTATCCGGTGCCCAAATACACCCACGAAATACTGTATATACAAAACAGCTTCTCTCCTATACATACCCTATTTCAATAAATAATTTTCATTAACAAGTTTTATTTTAGTATACCTTCTTGGTACAATCTTCGTTTCTTTATAAACTAGTATGGGCTCCACTGGTGCATGTCCAATGCTAAAAACCAGTTCACGACACACACGTCTAAGGTCCAAGGTTGTTTAAAGTTAAATGTTCATGTATTTTACAAAATAAATGACTGGCTAAAAGATTTCACTTAATATTTACAAGCATCAGCTGTGCGCATGGCAAGCTTAAATAGATTTAATAGTTGAATAAATACATTAAAATAGCCTACAAACATGTAGGAGGAAACTCGAATACTGTCTTTATAAAATCATGCGTCGCGGATACATCGTACGTATTCACAATGAACGGCACGATAAACTGAAATGCCTGAAGCTTTATGTCATCGTCCGATCATTAACAACTGACGACAATAGGTCTATAAATGAATTTGGTCCTATTAAATATTACGGACGGTATCGTAATATAAATCCAAAATAATTAATATATATATATTAACTTGAGTTGTAACTCTTAAATATATTCAGGTATTATTAAACAATATTATTAATGACATAAATTACAACGCCCATAATGGCATAGCGGAAATTTTCTATGTGGTACTTGGCAGGAAACAGACCGGTTCGAGAGATTTTATTAAGTCAGATTGAAATAAGGCGAAGTAAACTCAGCTGCACTATAAGATACAATTGAGGCTGATATGTTGTTTAAGATAATGAGCCGGCAACTCATAACTAGAATACCACATCACATTTGTACAAAACATCACAAAACAGGCATATAAGTACAGAAATATTGTCTCTTGGCTAGCAAGATCATGGAATAAGATCTTCATTTTGAGCTTCATCTGGATCTGATGAAACAGCCGGACTTCCGTCGCACTTCACGCAGCAGATATCTTCATAACCCTCCAAACTACAATACATTTCGCGTAATTTTGGGTTACATAATAGTGTGTTAGAAGCCGGAACGCACGTTGTTTTAACCTTTTCTGTAATAATAAAGTAAAAACAGAAATTTAAAAACCGAGAGTTCAATTAAGTCAGTCAGTGAAGCGACATTTATCGTTATGATCTTATTGCTTTGGTATACAGTTGCAGTGTATGCTATATTTTGTACTGTTATGTAAGCCTATGTTTAAAATATTTCAATAAATATTTCTTTTGAATCACACATACATAAAATATTTCAATAAATATTTCTTTTGAATCACACATACAAAAAATAAACACATTTCTGAAGAAATAAAACAGAAATAAGGTAATGCTGTAAAGGAAATGAGTAATATTTCATAATCTGTAAATATTCCTTAAGGATTAACATTTTCAATAAAGTATTAAAGAAATCTAATAAATGTCCCACTTATCACTTATCAGTATTATTAATAATGTCAGAAATAGGCCTAGGCCTGTATTAATAACCAACATGCCACTGTTACGACAACAAACTGTACCTACGCGAGCTAGTACAAGTGCCCATGTCACATTCACTGCTATCTTCTGGTTTTGTGTCCGGGCATTTGAAGTCTGAACTTTGCGTTGAAGGAATGGAACACGTTACAGTTCTTGTCATGACTCCAATACCACAGGTAACAGAACACTATTATTGTTTGAAAGAAAATTTACGAGAGAAAGAGAAATTTATACGGTAGTTATTCGAAACTATAGGTCAACACTAGAACGTACTTTGCTTCACATACTAGGCCTATTTACACTGAAGTAAGCCTAGGTCTAGTAATTTTCAATAAAGTGAAATGTATTGCTAACCTCACTCCACTCCCCGGTCTTCCAGACTAAAGGACAAGGATCGTTATTGCAAGCCTGGCTGTTGGCTGGCATTCGACCAGGACACTTCCGGTTGTTTACAGTGCTACTTTGACCATTGTCAATTTTCTTACATCGCACACCCCTGATTTGATTTCCTCCACTCCCACATGTACGAGTGCATGGCTCCCATGGATCCGTCTCCCATATAAATCTTCAAAATGAATAATAATAATAATAATAATAATAATAATAATAATAATAATAATAATAATAATAATAATAACAATAATAATAATAATAATGATAATAATGATAATGATAATAATAATATTTTTTATTATTATTATTATTATTATTATTATTATTATTATTATAGTAAACACGATATATAGTTTGGTTTTTTTAATTCTTTTTCAGAGGGATGTTCGAAAATATGGAGCTCATACAGACATATTGTACAGAATATCTACAAAACCATATATTTGAAAAAGTCTAATGAGAATTTGTATACAAAATATAAAACAAATATGAGGTAATTTAGTGAGAGGTTCGTAATGTTTTCAATATTGCATAATTGGAAACTTGCTTTCTATTTATAATGTAAGTCAACTATTAAGTCTTCATTAACAACATTACTTTGTGCTCGAGAAAAAAAATTAAAACATTTAATAATGTTCAGGTTTTTTTAATTGAAGTTTTAATACTTACCTGGCGATCAATGTTGATTATTATATTTTTTTATCACAACAAAATAATAGTATTAATTAATCTGTTAACGCAATTCTATATATGGGTTTTGAGAGCATAGGCCTTATCAAATATATTTTTGAACACTACTTCACTTGAGTTCACCCTAGAGTAGTACTACCCTAGTAGTTATCTTACCGTTTTTGCTGGCATGGTTGAGTGTTACAAGGCCGTCGGCTACTTAACGGGTCATAGTCAGACATTCCGCAGTGTTGATTTTCCACAACCTGGTTGTCAGTTTGCCGTCTGCATTCAAATGACTGAGTTTGCCATCCTACAAAAAGTTATTAATCATTAATAACTCATTAATAGGCGTATATTGAAAACTAATTAATCGGGAAAGAAATGTAATTATATTATTATATATTATTGTACAATTAAAGAAAAAAAAATAAAGCTATATAAAAGATTGAAGGAAATGATTTGCCTATTCGATTACTAATATACCGTAGGCCTTTATAATAAAAAAAAAAATCAACAAAAACTAGTAATTATGATGTTTACTGCGTAAACTTAGTACATTGTTTCCCAGGAATTTAACGGTGACTAGAATAGTATGGCATTGAACCTACCCCCTCCGCATTGTTTGTTGCAATTTGACCATCCGACCTCTTGCCACAAGTACAAATCATCACTTCTCGATATGGTCAAGTCTTCAGACGGAACAATGTATTTGTAGGTGAAATTTCCCCGGCGCTGATCTTTTGTGCTGAATACCTGATACGAACGAAACAACGAAAACATCAAAATGAATAGGCCTTTTCTTATTTTTATATATTGTGTGTATATACATTTTCAAGAAAAGGTAGTGCATTTTGTTGTTTGTTTGGCGGGCCACTTATTGAATGAGGATTAAATAAATTATAATGCGCTATATAACTAAAATCATCTGCCTCCGTGAATTTTTTACATTGTATTTTATTGTTTATCAAATTATACAGTATAGAATGCACTTCAATACTTGATGAAGTGCAAAACCTCCACCTGTATATACATATAAGTCCATGGGTCCATTAAATGGTTTTAGAAAATCATATTCCCGTACTGGACAAAAGTTGTTCTAAAAAAAAATAATTGTCTATAATCTTTAGAGAATATAAGTAGTACAGTATTCGCTGCCAAGAATTCAGAGCAAGAATCATAAACAATTTAACACCATATGAATAAAAAATATCATCGGCAAACTTTATTAGAAGCGTCACGTAAATAATGTTCAACAAACCGTAGTATAGCAAAAAGTACATGATTTGACTTGGTATTGAGAATACAACTTTCAGCTGTCACGGTTGACAACCATGAAGGCCGTCTGGATTTTTGTGATCTTCATCTAAAAACAAACTTGATTTAATTGCTACATACCAGCAGTAATATAGAGTCCGTTATAGGGCCGTATGTTACCAGTTTCTCTTCATAACCGTCGTTTACATAGACAAAATGCGCTCCGACTTCAACGAATTCTCTAGATTGTGATTGTTTTCCCATTCCATTTAAAATGAATTTGGAGTTCCGAAGATTTTTCACAGCTGAAAAAAGTAGATCGATACGTTATGTTGGGTGCATCTAAAGGTATAGTTTTAAACATTAATGTTTAGAATACGTAATGTACATATATACATTTATTTAAATATAAACTATATGTAATAATATACTGATTATGCAGACGCCTTAAATCAAATTGGAAGCCACTGATTTTAACTTTGTTTTGCATATGTGTATTGGAGAGCACTAGTCTAGTTTACTGTTAAGGCTGTCTCTTATACACATCTAGATGTGTATAAGAGACAGATATTATATTATATACATTGTATGTAATTGGTTTGGTGATTGTAACATAGAATTAATAATATTTACCAAAGAAATGTTTTGTGTTTGTAACTTCATTGATTTCTATATGTCTAGCTCCAGCTGGAATAACTACTACTCGTTGGTATTCTGAAATTATGAGAAACATAATTTACAAGTAAGTTTCAATATTCAAAAACCAAGTAAATCTTCAATTAATGTACCTTGAAAATAATACTTGAAAAGATGGTAACACTAAATAATGAGTAAAAACTTTTGATTCAACGGTTCGATCCATGCTATTATTTTCAAGCATGCCTTTGTCAATAATGTTTTTGTTGTTGCCATCATTCTTGTTTCATTATAGGACTATAATTATTAAACCCTACCGTATCTTATGCCAGAAATTTACCAACAAATATCTCAATAATTATTCAAAAGTTTTTTCTATACAATTATTGTAAGTACAGTGAATTATTGCATCAAATTTTATCAACTAAACTCGATCTATGACATATATAAAATAATTTTGCTAATTACCAGTACATGGCGTAAAATAATTTACAGAAAATTGGTTTAACTGTCAATTCCGTATTTTCGGATTTATTTATTCGGGTACACATAAATGTATAAAACTAAACGTACAGCAAAAGCATAATACATGACAGTAGTCAAAATGATGTAAAAAAATCCCACCATGGGCCTCGGGGAAAAATGGGTGTAGTAAAGTAACAAAAAAACACCATCAGGGCTAATACCAACCAAGAGTGGAATTAAGGTGTCAATTGATTTGACCAAACACACTCTGATTCAGAGTAGGGAAAACAATTGGCAGCATCAGTTAGTTTGTAATATACATACTCTTTTTTGCAGACTTGGTATATGAGCCGGTGACAGAGCGACATTTGGAATTATCTCCTTCACAGATTCCACATAAATCTTCTGTCTTCCCTGATCCAAAAACATTGTCACAGCCAATATCCTGTAATGAAAACAGAAGCGTTAAGAACACATCGTCGAATTACTGAGAAAAAAAAAATCCAAAATATCAGGAAGAATATACTTCAGGCCCTTTCCTTAAATCTAATGATGTCTATATCCCTAGCTACTTAACTTTCTATACTTTTAAACACCTGCGGTATGTCATTCGTCATATTACCATTCTAAGAACAGAGGAGTGTCCGAAGTAATCCGCTTAATAAGATTTAGCAAGCACAAAATGGATTTGATTCGTATAACCGCAAAGTAAACGCGCTATGGGCGATAGCAATGAGATAATCGACCTACATTAGGTAGGCCTACGAAATTTTCGTTGTCTATTAATTTTTATACATTATTATAGCATAAATATTAAAATATAACAGTACCTGACATTTTCCTTGTACACAAACCCCATTAGGGTTGTCATATGAACATCTCGTTCCATCTGTTACGTCATAATCTGACACTACAACATCACCAGTATTCTTAGACATGCATGTTAGACGGCACTGCAAGGAACCTTTCAATGAGAAAAACACCCCACTAATACAAAATGCTACTTTTTACGTTTGTTTTTAAAATGTCAGACACAGCAGAATTATGGTAGTATTGATTACGAAATGGTTAAGCCTAAACTAGGAAATCGATCGATCGATCAATCAATCAACCGTTTCATTTATATGACCTCATTCCAACAGTCGTTTGCTCGTGGTGCCGTTCAAAAAACAGGTTATTAAAAAAGTATGTCTTAAAACTGTCAAATGAAGGTTATTATTAATGTTCAAGTTTATTCTAGAGCCTTGGTCTGGCTGTGCTGAAACTCTGATCTCTCCAGCTATGTTTGCTTCTTTGGATGTCAACAATCAACATACAATCAACTCAAATATCCAACCTGAACGTCTAGTCCTTGTAAGATGAATTCAAATTATATTAAGTTAATTCCTTTAATGTGGAATGACTAGTTTAATCTGGACAATATAGGCCTCATCTTAATCAATTTAAAGTCTGCCCAGCAAACAAGTAATGCTGTTGAAAACTATAAACTCCTTAATTTATCTGTCTTTGGCTTTGATATGCAGTACAGTACGCATTTAACATGCCAACTCTGAGCGCCATTTGAAAATATTGTATACATACTGTTAAGGTTTTCCATGGGTGCCCAGGAGTGAAACCGGTCCAGGTAGCGCCAGTTAGAGAGCTTGTTTTTACATTGCTGGGCCCTTGTGTCGGTCGTCTTTCCAGGGCAAGGCTAAAAAAAATGTTGAAATTAGTTGACATTTCATATTTATCAAGTTGTTCATTTCTATTAAGTTTGTTGTGTTGCTTTTGAATTCTGTGTCAGTAGGTATATTGTCTAATGTTTCGCAATACTCTAAATATTAACATTTTGAGCACCGCTTACCTGCGGATTACACACTTGGTACTCCGTATTGCTACCAACACAATCGGCTCCTCCATTCTTTGGTCTGTGAATGATAAGTGAAACACTACTTTAAAGATGTATCATTAGGTCGTAAGCGTACATTAGTCAAGTCTTTGAATACGGATGGAGAAAAGAATACAATCAAATGGTGGTAAAATATTGTTTTGGATATGGTATCATCCGGTGAACTATTAGGCTCAAGCAGATGGGTCTTTAACGACAATTCTGTGAGGAATATGCCGATGTTAATTTAACATTAAAATATACTTTGTTATCTCAGAAGGAGATTCAGTTGGTCATGGCATAAATATAAACATATAATTTTTATTTGATTTTGATTGACTGGTTACGCTGACTTACTCTGGGTTGTTGCATTTCCTTGTTCGAACTTCAATACCAGTTCCGCAAGTAAACGAACATTCGCTGAACTCGGTGTACTCACTCCAACCTCCATTTACCACTGAAGGTATAGGGTTTGAACTTCCCGATTTCTTGGGTTTCTTTACACAGGATCCTTGCATACACCACTATAAATGGGCACAGATAAGAATAATATTTTAGTTGATTTTCGTTATTTGAGTGAAAAGAAATGTACACATATATATAATAATTGGAGTCTGCCATGCCAAAACCAGCATCAGAGACGAACAACATAAAAATTGACTATTAAATATATTCATATTCTCTAAATTACAAGCTTTAAAATGAAAGGTCATTCCCTGGAATCCACTTACAGTTGCTAAAGTTATGGGTAAAAGTATGGTTTCTATACTGAGTACCGCACTGCCACGTTCTTATGCTAATTACTCAGTTTAATATTTAGCGACAGTACGCTGGTTTTGGGAAGGCAAGTCAGGTAAAATAAGTATACATAATATATTATAATAATATTGTTTTATATTCGGGCATACGTTATCAGAATTTGTCTGTAGGATGTATCAAATTGTATTTGACAGAAACATGTGACGTGTCTAACTATGGTCATGAAGATGACCATGTAGTCACTCATGGGGGCATACAAAAAAAATGATAGTACGGACAGAGCTCAATGCACAATGTTTGATTAGACTTTGCTTGATTAGATATTTCTGTAGCTAGCATAAGTTGATTAAACAGTGCATGTGGACTATGTCGAACATTAATATAACGTAAGCCCGAGTTAACGTGCATAAAGTAAATGACGTTATATGCGCCAAAGAGTAACGGAAACGATTTTTAGGGGAAATCAATTCTAGAAAAGAATTTCATTCATGTAAAGAAAGAAAGCAAACATCAACACAATAGAAGATTCAAATTAACTTCCACAAAGAAAACCCAAAGTATTTTTAGTCAGGCATACGACATACTAAAATAATCTCATTTAAACAAAAGAAAAGATAAAATGTTTAAATGATTAAGCAAAGTAAGTTATACAATCTCCAACAATAAAAACTATTTCCATAATTCAAAACTTTAATTAGTATAATATAAGAAAATACCAGTACACAAATACAACAATTTTATTATAAAAATTAATAGAGAAGAATCGCAATATCACTGAGCAAATACCGTAGAATAGTAAACATAAAATATAACATAAACCAGTATGTAAAAAACTGGAAAAAAAACCAGTATTTAAATTATTGAACTACAAGTATCATTAGGTAATAATATATCAAATATATGCAAATAAAATATAATCAAAACAAGATATAAAATGCACGAACAGAAAACGTGTTTGCTAAAGATATTTTGGCGAATGCGACACATATAAAACATGCTTTTTGTGTGAAGAAAATAGATACTGTTTTATATGTTTTGAATTGAAGAAAATAATTTATGTTACCTCTATGTGCTGCTATGAAACATTTTTCAGTTATTGATAATAATAATAGAATAGGTTGGCTTTAAATACTTAAAATATATTAACTATTATACAGTGACAGTTATAAATGAATGTACTGTAATATTTTTTATTGATCACTGTGAATGAGCTGATGAAGATGCTGCTGCTCCTGTAGCTTATATGTTAATGATTATGTTGACAATAATGATGATAATTGATAATGACGAAAGTAATGATGAAGATAATCACAATTATGTTAATGATCATGTTGCTGTTATTGATAACATTTAAAATATTAATACTTTAATAATTTAAGAAGCTAAAATTCTATAAGCTGCTGCATATTATTAGCTGTTAGCATCAAGTGATTTCCTTATGATTTGAGTTAGTGGATTACTGGAGTCGAAGTTCTTTCTTCTTATTAAAATTATATGCTGCATATTAATTATTTGTGAAGTGCATGCTATCAATTATCACCACCATAAGCACTGTCAATATTATGTCCAACATTATCATCATCGTCATCATTATTGTCATCAGCCCCTTCACCAACATCAACATCATCATCTTCATCACGTCGCCGTCATTATCTGTGTCATCAATAAAGTAAATTTACATACTTATCATCAGTATCATCATCATGAACATCCGTATCCTCATCAATCACAACATCATCAAAATAACAGCACCTCATTGTTATCTTTGGCTGCTTATGTAACCTTGATCATGCAATAGGCCTAGAGGTGATTATTAGCAAGCGTATTTTAGGCTACATCTTCTATTACAGTAGAGGTATGGAGCCGTTGCACTCTTGTCAGATGAAAGCAACTCACAATATTAGTAGAGAGTAATGGAAGCAGTGTGTTTGTATCAATTATGTTATGTTAGCATTGTTACGTTAGTAAACGTTAGTGTTAATTGCTTTAGTAATATAGTAATAATAAAGTAATAATATGAGAAATATATTAATATTAAATAATAGCAAGAATTTTCTATTCCATGTCTCTGGAGGAAAAAGGTTTTACATTTTAAATATCCTTTTTAATAATTTTGCATCAACATGTTGACCGACTCTAATGAGCGAAATGAAATGATAGATTATGATTGGAGGTGTGAGAGAGTCGTATTTTTTTTTTCAGACACTATGTGATAGAATCAACGAGGCTCAAGTCTGGGTCTGTTTATTTAACTTTGTAAACTTACAATGCAACGTTGTTTGCGGCAGCCTTCATTACTTAACTTAACACATTAACTATATAAACATCTGTTACACTTACAATAAATTTATTACACAGCTTTCAGAAGAAAACAAGATACAAAACTGCCTGACTGTTGACCAAAAACATGCATTCACCAGTGCTTTCATGTGATTATGAATGACGTCATACTTATACATATAGCACACGGGTTGTGATTGGCCATGTTGGCCTGCTATTACACATGTTTGGATTGGTTGGCAATGACATCGTCATTATCAGACAAATGGATGGCTCTTCGATACTTCTCATAGTGTTGTTTTTGTTTTAAAATGGCAAACATTACTGAAAAACTCGGAGGTGGGATCTGTTTTTATTGACAGTTGTTGTCATTCTTTTAATCAACTACTGAATATAACTCTTCTGATGGAGATTACGGAATTGAAGAAGGAATTTCCTCGGCCCACGGTCTAGGTCTGTGCTCAGAGACTTTTCTTGTCCTTGGGTTTCTTAACACATTTTCCTTTCATACACCACTGGAAATTGGCATGGAATAAACGCAATGGTTAAGTACATTAGTATGTTAACAAAACATTAGTATTGATTACATTTTATTACTTATGATAATAAATACTGTAATTATTTTGATTATGTTAATATCAATAGTTCAAAAATAAAATACATATAAATCTATTATTTACAGTATCTTATGTAGTCTCTAATCGTATAACAAATATATAATAATATAGTCATATTGACGAATTATAAGCAATAATAATGATATCAAATGCATTAATTCAAGTAAATATTTACGTCAACAGTGCGCGAAAGAGTTAGCAGACTATACCATGCGATTGTCAGCAAAGTAACTTTCAACATTAGTAATATATTAATTAGTAAAGTTATGTTATGCATCTGTCTACTCCATTACAGGTTCAATTGTGTCTATAGATAAAACGAAATGTTTCATCTTTTTTAGTATCAGTAAATAAAATTATTGATAAAAAAATAAGACATCAATAATGCAATATAAAATGAATATACATAGAAAATCACCTTTTTTTTAATAAAATTATTGTTGAGGTAGACGTTTGTTTACAAATTTTACTGAATTCAATATTCTAAAGTGAACCCAACTGACGTTTCATTTTGTTTTAAATTGAAAGGTAAACTTTCAATGTGTGTCATTATTACTAGTGAATGCGACAGTGTACTTTTGCAATTCAACATCAGTGATTGATCGACCGTTTTGAACTTTCAGAAGTCGAATAAACAATACGTTATAAGAATCAGAATGTTGGTGCGTCGGTTTCTTTTGGCAACAACAAATACTTTATGTATCGTTCAATTTAAGTAGGCACTGTATCCGGAATTATAAGTTGACAAAAGATCACGGCAATACTATTTTCACGTAGTCCCAAAATGTTTTTATCCATCTGTTTTTACATTAAATTTTAAGTGAAACAATGTGGAGGTTTACCTAAAGGACCATGATTTTCATAATATATTGCAAATTTATTACGGACCCTGATGTGAGAGAGCAGGTGGACTGTCTTCCCACCTTACCAAAATCTCAAACGAAATTGTCTCGAGACCTGGATTATCAAATAAATGTCAGTTAAGATCAATATAACAGTTTTATATCTGCAGGTTGGGTGACACTTACTTCGCAACGTTCATAATTTAAAAAAAAAAGAGTTCTTTTAATTATACTTTTAATTACATTGTTTCGTTAAGAGAAAAAAATATACCTGTAATATCCCCGTTACTTAAACTAGTATTTAAACTAATGTAGACCTACCAGTATTTTTCTATTAGGCCTAAATAAGAAGTTCTAGATCGACCGTAGATATTCGGTTCAAATGCCATAATATCGCAATTTATGTAGGTAGCTTACCTTCCCGAGATAGTAAGCAATTCCCAAGGTAGAGGCCAATCAGGGAACAGTGAAATTTCACTGTCCCCTGGGCCAATGAATGTCTAAAAGAAAAAAAAAACTGCAGAAAAATCCTGTCTGATCCACACCTGAATAAGGTATGGTACATCTAACAAGTACATTTTTGCTGAAGAATTGGGGTGGGTGG